AAGATGTAAAGTTGTCTTTATGTTTTTAGATTCATTCAAAACTATGCACTTAGACAAGAGTCTGCTACAATGACTTTAGAAAGAGCTAACTTGTCGAAGATGAGATATTCAATATGTGTGAAGTTTCTTATGTCACCTATGGTGGCATATTTCTGCCCCTTGTGTGCAAGTTATTTTTTAATCAAATATGTCGACATGCAAGATAGGTATATTGACATGCAAGATAATTATGTCAACATGCAACATAACTATGTTGACATGCAAGAAAATTGCAAATAAATATCATAAAAAATCTTCAAAAATCTCAAATTTTGCCCATATGTGACATCAAACTTGCTAGAAGCTACTTATTTATGTTAACATGCAAGATAAATATGTTGACATGCAACTTACTTATGTCGACATACAACTTACTTATGTTGACATGAAACTTAATTATGTTGACATGCAACTTATTCATGTCGACATGCAACTTTGTTATGTTGACATGTGAGATAAATATAGGTGACATGCAACTTATAAGTTGCATGTCGATATAAATATGTCGCAAGTTTACATAAATAAGTTGCATGTCAACATATTCATCTTGCCTGTTAACATATATATGTTGCATGTTTACATAAATAAGTTGCATGTCAACATATTCATCTTGCCTGTTAACATAACTAAGTTGCATGACGACATAAATAAGTTGCATGTCAACATAAATGAGTTGCATGTCAACATATTTATCTTGCATGTTAACATAAATAAGTAGCATCTAGCATGCTTGATGTCACATGTGGGCAATATTTGAGATTTTTGAAGATTTTTAAAAATATTTATTTGATTGCAATTTGCTTGCATGTCAACTTAGTTATGTTGCATGTTGACATAACTATCTTGCATGTCAACATATCTATCTTGCATGTCGACATATATGATAGAAAAATAACTTGCACACAAGGGGCAGAAATATGCCACCATACATAATAGTTACATTTCGACATGAATAAGTTGCATGTCAACATAAATAAGTTGCATGTCAATATATGTAAGTTGCATGTCGACATAACTAAGTTGCATATCGACATAACTAAGTTGCATGACGACATAACTAATTTGCATGTTAACATAAATAAGTTGCATGCAAACATATTTATCTTGCATGTTAACATAAATAAGTAGCATCTAGCATGTTTGATGTCACATGTGGGCAATATTTGAAATTTTTGAAGATTTTTTATAATTTTTATTTGATTGCAATTTTCTTGCATGTCAACATATTTATGTTGCATGTTGACATATTTATCTTGCATGTCATCATATCTATCTTGCATGTCGACATATTTGATAGAAAAATAACTTGCATACAAGGGGCAGAAATATGTAATATGTATATAATATATCAATTAACACCAACACAGTAAATAGTGCAAGTAAATATCTTTCTTAATTTCAACAAGGTCGTAGATTTTTACTCGATCTTCCTCCATACAAACATTGATAGAGCTCACTGCATGCTGCATTGCTATATGAAATTGACATTACTTGTTGGGCGAAGAGTTCATTGTCGTTTTCTTTTGCTTCTGCTTAAAAGCAATTCTTCTTGGTTTATGCATAATATAATGAATCCGTTACTTTGTTTTCACTGTTTATAACACCGCATGTTTCATCTTTTTTAAAGCGTTTTAAAGGTCAGGGTCATATTATAGAGGTACCTGTACAAATCGTCTTCAGAGGAAACCGGTCGACACAATGAAGGTTTATTTTTTTGTAGTACGTTATCAAAAAGTGGTGTAATGAGCCTCCTTAGTGTGATTTGAAAAAAAAACATATTATACAATGTAAATAGCTAAATTAAATTATAAGAACTTATACATCAACGTAGAAATCATATATTTTTATTTATTAGAATTTATTTTCATTCATTTACAACAAATCTTTGTTTGGAATAAGGATATGGAAATAACGAACAGTATTCAATCTCAACGTCCATTAAACAAATATACAAAATAAGAGCAGAGCAAACACGGACCTCCGAAACATCAGAGGTGGGATCAGGTGCCATGGAGGAGTGAGCATCTCCTGCCGACCGGTCACACCCGCCGTGTGCTCGTTGTCATAATCAGGAAATAACGGAAAAAATCCGTGGTCAATTCAGTGTATAAATAATGGACTAACAATTGGTATGAAAAACGTCAGTCAGCATTTCATTCAATGATAAATTATATTTGCTGACAAGGTCATTGTATCGACCATAGAATTTACGAAATGATGACTTTAAACGAGACTGTTGATATTTTTGTTTCATCAACTTGCTTGTCAATAATTTACCTCGTTTAAGAAATTGTTCATACGTAGAGCATGCTCTTGCGTATCGAATCAACTGAGATATAAATACTCCGTATGCAGTTGATGAAGGTATATTGCTGCATAAGTAAGGGAAGTTGACGATAGAAAAGTTAAAGTCATGACGTTTATCATATAGCTTGGTTGTTAGATTACCATTAGTGTCTTTTTCAAGTAAAATATCCAAGTATGAAGCAGAAGTGTCGGACTGTACAAGTTATTATTCATGCAAATAAAACTTAGTTCTGCCCAGTGTGCATTACGATTGCAAAGTCAATGTTTTCCAATTAATTGTGCAGAAATGCAGAATATTGGGTCATACGTTTGAGTGTCAGGGGGTACTGTGTAATATGTTCTTGAAAATGTTGTAACAGTTTAATTTATTTACTTCATACAGTGCACGTGTGTAATAATATAGATATAAGTGAGTATATCAGTTTCCTGAAGTTAAACTAAGTCGGTATTGATGTAAGCTAATATAGAAATAATATGTCAGATTGTTTTTTTGTTTATTCAATCAATAACAGTGAGAAAAATTGATATACTATTTGATTAAATGATACAGTATATCACACAAGGATGTTGAGTGTTTACTGTACTTTATACAGTTTGTGATTTTCATGATTATTTTAACACTGTTTAAGTTTCATTATTTAAAAAAGCAGTATAATGTACAATTCTAAACAGTAATAAAATGATTAAAACTCTTATAGAGATCTTGATATTGTTTTTTGAATACAGCTTCATTACATGTACTTTTAAAACTGGGTGGTCATTTAATCTTTTTAGGATAACACATCTTTGGAATCAAGAAGGTAAAGTTCTGTACTTATCCAAATGTTTTACCAGGGTATTATTTTTGAAGAAGCTCTTAATATTACGTGTCCGATTAGGTGATGAAACAAGGGACAGACATCATTTGACATGTTGGAACTAATCTACTTTTTATGGATGATTGAACTGCAAATTAGTGTTTGGAGCAGGTCCTTTAATTCTCAAATAAATACATCATACATGTATATGTCGTACTTAAACCAGACTTGAATGGATATTAATATCATGATATGACTGCCTGTGAAGGTTGCACTATATGTTTTGTGGAAACATTTGTTAATTTTTAGAAACGTGTGTGGTCAGTCGAGTTCATCTGGATGAATTATCAAGAAAGGCACACACTCACCCAATAAATGTTTTGGTTGTTTTGCATCTCAAGATGTATAATTCAGGTTGGCTTTGGTAGGATTTATAATGTTTTTACTTTGAAATGAGTAGTTGGTGTATCTAAAGCATTTCTGCAAGTTTTGCCAGAGCAGGCCGGGTTTTTAGATACTTGGTTAAAACATAAAAAAATCAACCGTTTTTTATGTTTTTCTTTTTTTAAAATACCTGGTATGAGTTGATCTGATTCATTATCCAAAGCAAATCTGATAGTGTACATACATTATGGAAACAAGTTTGTTCACTATTTGCTGATTAGGGCGCCTTATACTGTAACTACTTGGGAAAACCACTGGTACTTACTTCGCGGTTCTAGAGCAGACGCTCTCACCACTGTCCCAGAAGAGGATGTGAAAACGTGTAAGGATATGCATAACCCTAGCCAAAATTGAATTTTATAATTTTGAAGTAGGGGTTATGCGTAGTTTTTAAACATTTTCCGACTGTTTATAGACGAACAAAAGATCTAAGTTTCATTAAATTATTTTCTTTTTACCAGAATAATAATAAACTTTAAGATATGCTAGCAAACGCAGTCCCTCTAATTCTTGGAGCATTTGAATTTTATAATTGTCGTAGAAGTCTTAATATAAATGAAACCTAGAATATCTAAATCTTTTGTCCTCTAATTACATAAGGGTAAAATGAAACAAATTGAAAAGATTGTTATGGAGTGGGTATAAAAAATCAATTAAATTTGTAAAAACAAATTCCATAGAAGATGATAAAACATTTGAAAATCGACGAACAAAAGCAGATATAATTGTTGCAGTTAGCTACATATACGATCACATTGTAAATACAATAATACAAATAGCTTAATAATAATAATAATTAATAATACAAAGAAACAATTGCATGGAGAGTCATGTAGAGTCATTAAAACAGAATAGAGGAATAAATAGCAATACCATCTAGTACACGTACAATAATATGTCTGCACTACCCTAAAAATTTACAATGATGAAGTTGAGAACCTTCAAATTAATTCTGGAGTTCTATATCAAATCAGGCAAAGATGGTTTACTCTGGTAAATTTCTAATTATATATAAAGGAATATTGCCAAAGTAGTAAAGGGTGAAATGTTGTATTCTCTCAATACCTGGTAAATCTAGATTTTAATGATGAAAAAAATGAAATGGATAGAAATAATGGGAATAAGAGAAAAAAATTCAGCCGAAAATGTAACTTTTAGATATATTTTCAACAACAAAAATCGAATAAAACTTTTCCATGGAAAATAGTTCTGGCTGAGTATGAATGCAAATAAAATTGTGCAAAAATGAAATATTTATAAAAAAAAAATATAAAGATTATATCGATAAATTAGATTTCATTACTGAAGATTTTAAGTTTGAATTTTAATTAAAACATTACAAATGCTGTTAAATCACATATTTTTATGAGGGCAAATTTTCAAGATTTGATAATAAAATGTTGGTTAATGAAGATTATATCAATAGATTAGATTTCATTACTGAAGAGTTTAAGTTTGAATTTTGATTAAAACATTACAAATGCTGTAAAATCACACATTTTATGAGGGCAAATTTTCAAGGTTTGATAATAAAATGTTGGTTAATGAAGACTTGATTTCGTGGCTGAAATTTTTGACAGCATTGCATATTAAATTTTTATACATTTCGTGATGTTATAAATTCGTGGGTCTCCCTATACCTCAAAACAACGCAAATCAAACCCACACGAAAATTAAGGATTTGACATAAATTGTGCTCACAATAATTTTACGTATATGATCTTGCGACATTGATCAACTGCAGTTTATTTCTTTTCTCTGCATCTTTGGATAAAACTTCGCTAAAATTAGCAATCATGTGGGCAATAATAACATCATCGTTATCCACCAGAGAAATTTTTTGAATAGAATTTGTCTTCTCAGTTCCACATTTCACAACTGCATTTGCTGTGCATTGAAATATTTTTCTCCTCCTGGTTTTATCATCAATTTCTTCAAAGAAATAAATTAAATTATTTACTCAACTAATTACGATAGCATGTGGAAATGACAATACAAAATTCAGAACTGATTATATCTGAAACCTACTTTTATCTCATTTTATGATTCATTGTGTGTACATATATATACGAAGATAAAATCCTGGACAACACATCTTAATTGAAAAATATCCAAGTAATGCACGCACCTAGCTGAAAATTCATCAATTAATTATTTATCATGTTTAATCAAATAGGCCCTACACATATTTCATGATGTATTATCAACTATATCTACATAACACATAAAATCCAGATTTGTGTTAAATTGAACATGTATCTAAACTTTCGATGTAAATTGATGAGAATTTTATTAAAGAGCAGTGAAGATTTTAGAACGCTGCATTATTAATTATGTTTCCCCCAAAATAACACGCCCATAATTTTAAACGGATAATACTCGTTATATACTAGTACTTAGAAAAATTGTGCATATATCACTAATTATTGTCTTACCTCTCCCAAATAATGGAATAAGTAAGGTCTTCAGTTTATGATCGTTGGCCATCTTGAATATCTTTTTGATACATACTTCTAATTCTTCCATGATTTTCATTTCTGGATCAGTATCTTTCATAATAGACCACTCTGGAGTAAAAACGTGCAGAATTTCTTTGATATTTGGAAGTGTTTCCGGAGCACATGTACTTCTGACATTGCTGATAGTCCAGTATTTTCCTCTAAAATTCCCCATTTCATTTTTATATTTATCAGATTTGCACTGCGTTAGGTATTCTGCAACTCCTCTTTTACTTCTCATATCTCTGTCTTGTTCAATTACTAGTCCACCAGCTTCCAAGAGAATGATTTCTCCAGAAAATATTTTCACAACTAATCCTGAATCCAGATAAAAATCCTTTTCATTCCCTGCCTTATGGTAAACCCAGTGTTGTTTATGTAACAATGAATTTTTAATGCCTTGAAGTTTTGCTTGGTCGGTATCAACAAAGTATATCTCCTTCAATTTACTTTTCGTTGACTTAGTAACAACGAATGAATTCACGGCTTTGGCATAAGCCATGCAGCAGACTGTAAGTGGCACTGCACTTAAGGCGCCTACGAACAAATAATAAACTGAATTGAAATTCATACAATTTCAAAATGTTTTGCTGTATCTAAATATGATTGTAAAATAGTAAATCACTGACTTGATCTGAACATATTTCCAGATATATTAAAAAAAAATTTATTCACCTTTGGTTCTTTAGTACTGTTATGGGTCAGAATTACCCGAAATGCCAGCAAAGATCAATAACACAATTTAAACTTAACAATAATTTATTTACAGTAATATATAATAAGTATATGAAACATAAAGTACAAACTTAGCAAGAATCTAAGAATACATACATCAGAGTGTCCGTTTCTGCACACAATGTCCCAGTGAAATTATATCCCAGTAATACCTCAATGATGCTTATACGACAAAGTATTCACAATTATTGTATATCTATGCATTGAATTGCAGGGTATTTATACAGTATTATAAATCTAGAATATTCTAGAAAATGTTAAAACATGATATTACTGGAACAATCTGGACATACACAAAATTTAAGAATGTTCTAGATAAAATGACCAAACATGTTGACCACTCTGGAAGGTTCAAGAAACTTAATGTTACTAATTATATACATAATAAAACAATACACATCTCACAACAGTACATATTTAAAGCTTAAACTTTATTCCTGAAAAAAAAAATAATTAACAGCTACTTACCTGCACTGATGGCAGGTATTGCAATTGCATAAACATCGTCGACCTGGGATAAACATGCTTGGACAGTAGATATAATATCAGACATGCAGTCATCGCATGGGTTTTCTGATTTAGCATAACTCTCCCATACTGGTACATTCACATGAACAATTTTTTGACAAAATTGTAACTTTCCTGCTCCAGTGACAAAAGTCTTTCCAATAGGAAGTGTTCCTTCCTTTTGATGTTTGATAAACTCGGAACATTGGCTTCTCACTGATTGTCCAGCTTCTCTGAAGATGAAAGAAGACAGTCCTCCGTGAGAATGAAGTGTTTTGTTTAAGGGATTCACAATTGCATCTGCATTTACATGAGTTATGTTTGCTTTGAAGACATACACTTTTACACCTCTTTCATCAAAGACAATATCAGATGTTTTAGGGGAAACAGGCTGGGAAGGGTACTCTGGTAAACCCCCTTTCGAATTTCTGCTGACGTCTGTTGAATTACTACCTCTTTTTCCAGCTTGGTTTCTTACATTTTGTTTAGCTAGTCTTTCTGCTTCATATTTTACCTTTTTGACAGATTCTGCACGTGGTCCCGTGATAAATATAGTGTTGCCAGTAATTCTAACAAAAACATCACCATTTTCACTGGAAAGTTTTGAGACAAAAAGAGTTGCTTCGTACTTGGCGTAATCACTTACTGTAACATACTCTTTAGTATAATGCCTAACATTATTCAGTGCATATTTATATTGCTCTATCAGTGATCCAGGACCCGAAATAAATACTTTCCCATCTGTTTCAGTAAAGTTTTTATGCAACAATTTCTCAAAATAAACAATAACTTCGAATTCGGCAACAGGAATTTCTATTGAGCTTAATTGTAATTTCTTAAAATCCGACAAGCAGCTTTGCAGGATTTCAGGAACCCTTGAAAACATCACCACAGTGTTTGTTTCTTTCGCGAAGGAAACTGAAACAGCATCTTTTTTCTTCTCACTTTCGAAAAGTTTGAAATCTTTACTAGTTACTTGTGTAATTTCCTGCATTGTTAGCTCATGAAGAGCTTTTTCGAAGAGTTTGACGGTATTTTCTGTACCTGATATAACGTCATTGTAAAAATTCACTTTTTGAAATGGCAAATCTGGAAATAGTTCTTCCAGTGCTCTCTTTTGAAATTCAGTACATTTTACAGTGTACTTTTTAGGCATTTCGTCAAGAGTTCTTGGAATGTCTTCATCTTGACGTTTTTCTTTGATAGAGTGAGAAGGAACTTCTCGTTCGCTTTTTATCATCTCCTTTAAGCAGCGTTCCACATTTTTTACCATCAACAGGTTCCCTTCAACGGTCCATGATTCTGTGCACAGGTAGGCTCCTGTTTTCTTTTGAAATTCATGACTTGTAATACCAGTTTGTTGTAAAATACCAGTTACTTTTGAACTAAGTTTCGCCTTAATATTAGTTACTGCCTGTAATAATAATATCTTATATAAATTTCTTTTTCAGCATTGATAGTACATTGAATATATTTTATTACTATTTCATATTATTGTAATATTTTAACAAAAAATGTGTGCTATTTAAATTTCAGTATACTAAGTAGTAATATCAGAGGTTATGCTGAATTCAAAATCTGATTTCAAAAAATAAACGAAAGAATCAGAACGTTATAAATCAATTTTATTGTATCATAATTGAATTCATTTAATTTTTAAAGGATTACAAAAACGATTTAATGAAATATTTTAATGGCCCCTCTATTCCTCTGAATGATGCTTTTATATTAATGATCAATCATGGCTTTGTTATTCTTTTGAAGTATATATATCATATACACATGTATATATAAACTTTGATTCCCCGTTGTAACCCGATCATACCCTCATGAAGATTTCAAGACACTTGAATCTAAGTCTGTAAAATTGCTTCCACATTCATATGACTAATCAGTATTTTGTTGTCCTTCAGAAGACTATTTAAAAGAAGTGGCCCCACTAAAAAACTGTTCTTAATCAGGTGATATTTATTATCTGATATTACTGACACGTCGCCGGTAAAATTCAGTTTGCGACCGTTAAATCAGCATTAACGGTCGTAAATACCAAATTAGAAGATAGTCATTCCCAAATTTACACCACCAAAAATCCTTTCATATTAATACATGTATGCTTATCAAGAGGTGTGGATCTATATTTAAAAAACTGGGACCCTCCATCAAAGGGTCCTTTAGGACAAGGATTTGGTTGAAATTGACCAAGTGGGAAAAAGTAGAAAATGTGAAAAAGAGTACACACAGACGAACAGACAGACAAACAGATAAAAAGATGCACGCCATATAAAATGTAATCAGCATTTGATGTTCAGAACAGATGAGCTAAATAGAGATTTGTTTACATTTGTTTATGACTGCACAACTGTATCAAAATCATAGTTATTTCTTTCAATAAATTAGAATTCCTTTATATCTTCTTACCTGCATTGGAAACTTTTTCAAAACAAAATCTTCCATCGAAAATTCCTTGAGGAATTTTTCTGCATCTGTTATAATAATAAAAATATCCTATACAATCATCACACCGTCCAAAGACATACCAGTGTGATTTTATTGTATGTTATGTTGTATAATAAAATCATATCGTAGAGTAGGTGCTCATAAAATTGTGTGCTTATGTTACCTTCCACAGATCTGAATCTAAGTAGTGCACACACATCTTCTAAAAAGGGACAAATGATATTATCGCATTCAACATCTTTCAAAATGGGTTCCACCTTTTCCATGGTGAGAATAGTTCCTTTGGTGCTTGTCAATAAAAGATAATGTTGATCCTCAATGGAGAGAGATTTATTTCTGAAATTAAATTAAATTAATTAAATTAACTATGATAACCAAAGAGAAAAATTAAACAAGAGACCCATGGGTCACATCGCTCACCTAAGTAACTTTGGCTATAATGTTCTTTTCGAGATTATCGCCCGTGTTGGTAGAGCGTCTGCTCGATATTCGCGAAGTAAGGAGTTGATCCTTACATAACGTGTTCGAATCCCACTGTGGGACGTGGAGACCGGTCCTTTAGATGAGGCCGTATACACCGAAGTCCCCTGTCGCAAAAGGTGCTTGCAAGAAAAAGATCCCTCCCTGATCAATGGTCCTGAGTGCCGAGTATTAGACAAAATTTGAAGATCTCCGCCGGCAAGTAGTAGCGTCTCCATATGAGTGAAAAATTCTTGAGATGGACGTAGAACAATATACAATCCAGCTCCTATTTCAATTTCCCCAATGTAATATCTATGATGACCAAACCCAACTTCTAGTGGTCATTATTTAGTCAATTAAGAATCTACACTTCATCCACAGATGCTTCAACACAAGCTTTAGCTGTTTTGGCCCAGTGCTTTTTAGAAACACATTTCTAAAGAATTTTCCCATACATTTCAATGTAAAACTTCCTTTTGTAGTCCTCCAGTCCCTGCCACCGGGTATCATGACTTGAAGAATTAAGAATCTACACAATCCCAGGATATTTCCACATATGTTTCCTCTTTTAGGTGTTTCTTAAGATTGACTGATTGTATATTGTTTAACGTCCGTCTCGAGAATTTTTCACTTATATGGAGACGTCACCGTATGCCAGTGAAGGGCTTCAAATGTTGACCTTTACTCGGCACTCAGGGCCATTGAGCAGTGAGGGATCATTATCGTGCCAAAGCCTGCCGCTGACACAGGGCCTCGGTTTTTAAGGTCCCATCCGAAGGACCCGCAACTTTCACTTCAAAGTGCCGAGCGCATGGCGAAGGAACAGTTGCTACCAATTTTAACGACTGGGTCAATCGCGGCCGAGATACGAACTCACGACCTCCCGATCACGGAGCAAGAGCTCTACCGACTGAGCTACCGTGAACGGTGCGTTTCTTAAGGGACAATATCCCTCTGCTCCACATTTCAAGACTTTTTTTTTTAAATTCCAAACATTGATTTTCAGCAACAACTATAACATTCAATTCAAATAAAAATAGTTTGAAGTATGAAGCGTTGCTTACTTTTTCAGAAATAAATGATATGTCAAATCATGATTTGAAGAAAATTTGATATGGTCATTAGAAAGGTCAATTATTTTTAATCTCACAATTAAAATAGAAATATGAGGTATATATAAAAATAATATTTACTCTCATACCTATCTAATTCCCTTTAGAAAACATACTGGAGCGATGCTTTTTAAATCAGAATATCAAATTGTTTTCTGTGCGTGTAAAATAAAATGCATTCATAAGCAAGAGTTATCGTTCCATTATCGCCCTTGAAATTCTTTTTCAATGAAATAAAATATTAATTAAATGTTTATAAACGATTCTGCGGCTTTTATTTCTGTACAATTAAAAGACTTTCACCTTTAGAAATAGATTTTTTATCAATTTACACCGTTTAAAGGAAGTGAGTGTAAATGTTTTAGGTAAACTATTCAAAATAGTTTTTGGATATACTAGCAATACAACTAGAAGTCAACCTCTGAACAATGGGTTAGGTTTGCTTGAGTTAACAATAAAATGGTCCACATGATAGAGATTTGTAAACTCTGGCATGACAAGTTACTGAAGTTCATGACAAAATGTCTGCAGAAAGTTATCTTTCTTATCTGTAGAGTTATCTCTCATATCAGAGTATCAATGAACCTTAAGAAGAAAACTTTTAAAGATACTTTTCTATATAATTCAATGAAAATTTTAGATTCCTAATTGTGATTCATACTGCCTCCATGGGTCCATGATTTTGATAAGTTAACATCTAGATAACTTCAGCATGCTTCCACATAAGTCTCAGCTTTTCTGAAACATTGGTCTTGAGAAGATTTCTTTAATGGCCTTACCCCATTTTTTGTCTTTTCTTAATGATCACCCCTTGTGTAGAAACTTGGCCCTTCATTTTAACAATTTTAACTCCCTAACCGAAGGATGCTTTGTACCAACAAATTTACATATCAAGAAATTAACATTCTTAAATTTGAGAGTAATAGCAGTAAAGAGAAGAGAAGGACAGTAATTTTGGAATGTAAATATATAGAAACTTTAGAATTGAGCATTGTACAAGAGTTTTGCAATCAAACATATGCAAAATACAGAATTATAAATTATCCCAATTACACTTACTCCTTATCCGAGGTTACAACAGCAGGTATATCTGTCGAGTCTTCTCTACCTAAAACAATTGATGTAAAGCTGAGGTTATTGATACACGTATGTACAATTTAAACATGCAGTGTTAATATCTAACATGCTTTATGAAAAATATGCCTACTTGCAAGTTTCTGTGAATTTCAAACCAATAATTCCCACTAAAGTTAACATATTATTTATATCTGCTTTAAATGTTTAAAAGCAACAGAAAATATATTAAACGTTTGATATACTGTCTGCCCTATGTCATTTTAATTTATTTACTTCTTTGTGACCACATTGTAATGCCATATTAGTGCAAGTTCCTCCGTGTCTACACGTGAATTAATATTTGTTTAAATGTTAGCTCATATTTTATTTGTCGTCCGCGTAGCGCAGTGGTTAGACAGTCTGTTCTAGAGTGGCCAAGTGAGGAGTTGATCCTTACGTTGCAAGTTCGAATCCCACTGCGGGACGTGGAGACTGGGCTTTCCTATGAAACCGTATAAACCAAGGTCCTTTAGCTTGTCGCAGTACCTTCTGGCATGAAAAAAGATCCTTCACTGCTCAAAGGTGAGGAGTATAGGACAATCATCCAATTTTATAATCATTTTCTGTTGTATTGAGTTGTATTAAGTGTGGAACATTTATGAAAAAAAATTGAACCCTTTAAGCAACCTCTTTATCATCAGGGAACTGGCCACGAATTTCGGTAGGAGAGATCGCGAATATGAAAGTTAAATATATAGAATGTTTTGTAAAGAGATATATTTATTTTTTTTTAAAAAGAGCTGATTCATGTCTTTGTTTCTTATTTAAGGAATGAAGTAAAAAAAATAATCTTTCATACGATACAGAAAAAGTTTGATTTGCATTATTAAAAAAAAAACTTTTAAGTTTACATGTAAACAAAAATATTATATGATTAAATGGAAATTTTTTTTTTCTATGTAAAAATTTGATTTTGTCAGCCAATACAATTTAGTCAAATGCTGACTTTTTTCATACCAATTGTTAGGCCATTAATTATATCCTAAGATGCCGACGGATGTTTTCCGTATATTTTTTTCACGCACATTACAAGGAGCACATGGTAGGTATGACCGATCGGCATTGAATGCCCACTCCCCATGGCACATAAACCCACCTCGGATGTTTTGGAGGTTCGTCTTTACTCCGCGCCTTTTTTTAATGTTAAACGGACTTTGGGACTTGAATACCGTTCTAATTTTAAGAGACTTAATGCAACACCTTAAACGCTTGAAACGATCGTGCAACGTGTGCGAAGTTTAAATTTTCCTCTCTCAGTGTTTTAAAGTGGTCGTGCGCCAATTGTGAAAGGGCTTTTATATCCACAAAGTTCAGTTTGTTACCTTCATCACTTTCTTGCGGAGAGGTAGATGGCTGTTCATAGTCCTTTGGCGTCTTATCCTACAAAATGAACAGAAACTGTGTAGTTGATTATCAGTATTAATTAAAAAAGATTACATAAACATTCATATGCGTAATGTTTAATGGTCAATATATTTAATATTCACTACCTGACAAAGAAGAAGCTAGAAAATAACCATCAGTATAATCCAACTCTCCTTCATCAGAATTTTGACCTACATATTCCTATGTAAAAACTGATCGCCTTTCATGATTCAAATTTTATGCTTTGATTTTCAATTACATTACATATACATGTCCACATGCAAGGATCAGGAGTTTAAAAAAAGTCTGTTTCAGTGTTGTTTACATATGTAAAGTGTAGGTTAATACATAAAATAACATGAAAGAATTTGAAAATTATCACTGATTTTTTTTCTATATAAAGTATGAAAAGAAATGAGATTACAACCATACAATCAAATTACATGTACGACATTTCATTCTGAGACATTGGTTTAGTGTGATTGCTTGTTTGATTTTACTTACTGATTCATATTTTTCCTGAATGTGCTTACAAAACAGTCCCTGCAGTAACTGCATTACCGTGATAACATTATCTTTTTCTCCACGGACGGAAAATCTTTGGAGGACGATTGCCGTATCTTTCCCTGTTTTATCTGTAAAAGGGATCGCATAGTACATGTGTAAACGGCATTTTTTTTCAAAATTGTGAAAATATAGTCTAGTCTCCCTAAGTTTTCACTTTTGAGCCAAAACCAATTATAGGTATGTATATCGGCGAGTTATTTAAATACATATCCTATACCTCCAGTCAGGTGGGCTGTACATGTATGGAAAATCCTGACTGTATCTTTAAATTAATATGAATAAATTTTATGTGTTATATTTAAATGTCGAGTCAGCTTAATTATTCAAACGAAGGCTTTTCTCACCAAACTACCCCCTTCCGAAATACTAGTATTAAGCTGAAGTGAACCGTTACATACAAATTAGGAATAACAAATAAAAGTACAAAATTTCGTAAAAATATAGTTTATAAAAATAACGACAAAACTTGTTTGATAAGAAAGCGATAGTTACCTTCGTCAGGCTCCAGTATAGTTTTAAATACCTATGAAATTATAAAAAAAATATTGTAAGAAGAAAAACGAATTTGTCGTATATTAAAACAATCTCATATATGTATATCTAAAATATTGTTCAAAACATAAATTGTATCTGCAACGATAATTTCAATTCATGAAAAAAGACTGAATTAAAAAAAAGTATGCTTGCCCCCCCCCCCCCCTCCCCGAAACAATGCCTATGTTGTTTATGTAGACCAACTCACCTTGAAGATATCTTCATCTGTTTTGTAAATGACGATCAAGATTTTTTGCACAGACGTCTTTGGGTGTAATCGAACATATTCATCACCTATTTTTTTCATACAGGATGCAACTACATCTGCAGGAATCTTTAGTTGCCCAGTGCCAATAGCAGGAAATGCAATGATTTTTAACTTCATCTCATCTGCTTTAGTAATGCAATTTCTTATAAAATGTTGAAGAACCTAATTTTATAGAAGAGAAAAGGAATTATTTAATAGCTATTTCAAACAAAGATTCCAAAGAATAAAATTCAAACTACATCTGTGAAAGAGATATATATTTTATACAGTTGAAACTCGAAAAATGTCAGTATTTTAGCAGAATTTCTTACCTGAAGATTTTACACTTACCGGTAAGTATGCTTAGTGATGAGATGAGTATATAATATATTTTTCACACAAATCATTTTATTATACTCACAAGTTCTAAAGAAAATTCGGGTATATTGTTGTCTTGCTGGTCTGTCAGTCTGTTTGTTTCTAACACTATTTTCCTCCTCAAATTACTCTTACGTGTTCAGAAGCAGACAGCCCCTCTTTTTTTTGAGGAGGGATGGGAATGATGTGACTTGAACATGTTCAAGAAAATTTTGAAATTTTATTTTCAATCCAGGGGCAAAATGAAGGTTCAAAAGGTTTTTTCTCTAAAAAAAATTCTGGCACACTTAACTCCTTTTAAATATTTTTTGCAGTTTCCCAACCATATTTTAATTTAATTTGGATATAATGTAGATACGCAGTAATTTAATGTTTCAGAATATAAAAATGTTTGTTCTCGTTATTGCATAAACATACAAATGTCACGGAAGTTTGGAGTAAACGACTTATAATGAAAAGGGGGGAAAATGAATGTCATTTTTAACCCATATCTTCGTGGTCCTCAGTTTTAAATGAAAATTTAAAATGTTTTTGTCACAACTTCAGGAAAGCAACTATCACATTTCAATAGACAAATTAATAACAAGAATCTGAGGAGGAAAGTGTGACGGACGGATAAGTGTTCAATTATTCAAACTTATTTAAAACTTATTTTATTTAAATTTATTATTTAAAACTGTTCGAAATGTAGCAAAACGAACTAATGAGGGCAACCATTATGTACTAGTGAAATTGATCTTAAAATTTTAGATCTCCAATTTTAGATACTGTGAAATCACTAATTTTCGTGGGGGTTTAATTTTCGTTGTTTTCGTGGTATGAAGAGACCCACGAATTTATATTCACCACGAAATGTAAATTTTCATGTGCACAACTACTAAAAAGTTCTTCCATCCACGAAATCAAATCCCCACGAACCAACATTTTTTCCTCAAACCACGAAAATTTGACCCCACGAAAATATGTGATTTTACAGTATGTAAATTACAGTTTAAAAATGTGCATTATCTGGAGATAAATAAGTGCAAGATTTCATTAAAATTCAACTCATTTTCAATTAAAGCTTTGTCAATGCCCACTTACTTCTAAGGACGTGTCTTTTCCGTCATTCCATGGGAAAAGTGCCCCATGAAAAAGCCTTTCACAATTCATCCCGTATGCAGAAGTCACGAGAACCTCTCCATACTCGATTTTATTCACCCTTTGACCACTTTTGTCAATGGCAGGTATTTCATCCATCTCTTTTTTCAGTTCATCGCCAGCAGCTTCAAGTATTGAAATTGAGACTGGTCCGCTCGTAAGATCTAAATTTAGTGAAGTTGTATTCACTATCACATCAACCTGGAAGTATCAATTTCATTTGTTAGAAATTTTTCAAACCCGTGACAGAGTCCACTCAGAACATTTTAATATCAAACATGCATTATTTTTTACATCAAAAGAAGGTTAAATTTAAATACATTCTGATATATATCATTCTGCAAACATCATTCAAAGACAGAATAGGTTATTAAATGTAGAAAAAAAGTAAATTTTAATCAATGAATCAAAATGTTAATAGAAAAGATTTTAAATGAAGATTATCCCGTTAAATAACAAGAGGCACAGGGGCCACAACGCTCAACTGAGCACATCGGGCTTGAATTTAACCCCCCCCCCCTCCAGGCAATCATCATTTGAACAAACTAGAATCTACACTACCTGAGGATGATTCCATATAAATATCACTAATCATAGCTTTGAAGTACTTGAAAAGAAGATTTTAAAGGTTTCCCTATATATCCCTATGTAAAACTTGGGTCAGCCATTTTGGCCCCACCCTTGCCCCGGGGGTCATGATTTGAACAAACTTGAATTTGCACTACCTGAGGATGATTCCACATGAGTTTCATCTTTCCTGGCCTAGTGGTTCTGGAGAAGAAGATTTTTAAAGATTTTTCTTTTATATTCCTATGTAAAACTTTGGTTGGCCATTTTGGCCCCACCCTTGCCCCAGGGGTCATGATTTGAACAAACTTGAACCTACACTACCTGAGGATGATTCCACATGAGTTTCATCTTTCCTGGCCCAGTGGTTCTGGAGAAGAAGATTTTTAAAGATTTTTCCTATATATTCCTATGTAAAATTTGGGTTGGCCATTTTGGCCCCACCCTTGCCCCAGGGGTCATGATTTGAACAAACTTGAACCTACACTACCTGAGGATGATTCCACATGAGTTTCATCTTTCCTGGCCCAGTGGTTCTGGAGAAGAAGATTTTTAAAGATTTTTCCTATATATTCCTATGTAAAATTTGGGTTGGCCATTTTGGCCCCACCCTTGCCCCAGGGGTCATGATTTGAACAAACTTGAATGTACACTACATGAGGATAATTCCACATGAGTTTCATCTTTCCTGGTCCAGTGGTTCTGGAGAAGAAGATTTTTAAAGATTTTTCCTATATATTCCTATGTAAAACTTGGGTCGGCCATTTTGGCCCCACCCTTGCCCCGGGGGTCATGATTTGAACAAACTTGAATCTACACTACCTGAGGATGCTTCCACATAAGTTTCATATTTCCTGGCCCAGCGGTTCTGGAGAAGATTTTTTAAAAATGCCATTAATTTTTAACAAATTCATGATTATCTCCCCTTGGAAAAGGGCGTGGCCCTTCATTTGAACAAACTTGAATCCCCTTTACCCAAGGATACTTTGTGCCAAGTTTGGTTGAAATTGGCCCAGTGGTTCTTGAGAAGAAGATGAAAATGTGAAAAGTTTACGACGACGACGACAACAACGACGACGACAACGACAACGACAGACGACGGACAAATTTTGATCAGAAAAGCTCACTTGAGTCTTCGGCTCAGGTGAGCTAATAAAGCTAACATGATATTTTCATCACATAGAATATACACAGGCGTAGAGAATCTGCACTGATAAAATTTACTACTAAAACTTAAAATACCTTCTCTTGTAATTCTGCTATTTTCCCACTGATCACTTGAAGCTCAATATTTCTATCTTGCAGACCTGTGACACAGACAAACCGGTAACAAAGACAAGAAACTATGCATTGCCTTTTAGAAATCAAAGCTATTTGAAAGAATAATTAGGAAATAAATAACAAGTTTATAAACTTCAATGGGAAATTGAAGTGGGTCGGTCACGTGCGTGATCAAATCCTGTGAAGACCGAAGGCCTTCTCAGAAGATTTGATCACGTACCGACCCATTTCAATTCCCATTGAAGTTTATAAACTAGTTATTTATAACTTATATATACATTTGAGACAGACAATTAAATATTTTCGAATTTAATTACTGCACTAACCGTCCGTCGTAGATTTTGAAAAATGACGCAAGGTGTAAATCGGCTTGCATGGCGGTTACGCTTCGAATTCATTAGGTTAAGGAATCTATTTCGAAGGGAATATTTTGTGAAAGGCTACTTGTGATCAGTTATAGTAAACAGATTGTTGTCTGAGAATATTTTTATTCGTGAAAATTGATAATCGATGCAGAAAAGACACAAGAAACACGTCCGAAGTTTGATGATAAAAAGTTGAAGGAATTTCAGTCGCCGGAAAGGGATGGATGGATCCGATGGATTGAGACACTTGTCCGAGCCAGTAAATTTGCAATTTAATCAAAAACATTCTTCGATTTCAGGAACTAAAGGCATACTTATTGTGAAACACTAATAAACACGGGGTCACTGGCGACAGCTTTACCATGTTTACATTGAACTACGAAAACGCCGAGGTGTTTGGCAGCTGTTCATGGAATGATTGTTATGATATTTTCCAACAGATTTACACATCTATCGGGAGTAGAATTTAAAGATAAAATAAAAGTTTAACATGAAAATTTAACGAAAGGTCTACCCAAAAAATAAGGATGAACGTTATAAACTGTGCAGCTGACAAAAGTGAAAAAAAGTGTAAACAAACGCTAGGCCCCTAACGTGAAAGTTTTCTCGATGTACAGTGGTTGAATCGATAGCAAACAAAATGAAATAATTGTTTACAATGTAAATGAAATAATTATCATTTTACTTGCTAATTTTTTTCATTTTTGTTCATGAAAAGCAAGTAAATCAGGTCATTTTATAATAGACCCTTTCACGATAACTGCGACACTACTCTTTTGCAGGGCAAAATGATATATTTTGGCGAAATATGACGTAAAAGTGATTGTCTTATATACGTTATTTAATTATCTGTCAACAAAAACTTCGCCAAAAGTTATTAATTTACCCTGCAAAAGAGTAGTACCGCAGTTATCGTGAAGGGGCTAATTTATGTACCGGTAGATATTATTGCGCCGTGTGATTAGGTCACGTATTGACCTCTGAAAACTTCTACAGAATTGAAGATATTTTCTCTCTGTGTGTTTATATAAAAGAGAGATACCACAAATGTATATATTTAAATTTGTATATTTAATTGTTGACATCATCTATTAAAGACAATATGCATGTACTACTTGAAAGAATATTACTGAAATACATGTATCCCTAAGAAATCACGTTATAAAGAAACCAAAACTCGCTGACGGCTATTACTAGTAACTAAATAAATAAATATTGTTACACTATTACCTTTCAAACTATTGGAAACTCCTTCTATGCATCGAGCAATAGAATTATATTCTGCTTCATCCTCGCTGGCCATGATTACAATCAAGCTTTCAAAAGATATAGTTGCATGAACTACATGTAAGAGGCATGTTGCAAAGTTTTCCATCGGCCATGAATTCAGACCTTCCGATTCAAGCATGACAGATTTCTTCTTACTCTCTACCATATCGGAAAATAGCAATTCCAAAGCAATATTAACTCGTTGCTCCTCTTTTCGGTCTCCACCTTGCCACAATGGGATGTTTAGAAAAACAGTTGTATCATCACTCCATTTAATATTGCTTTCAAAATCTGCAATTATATATATATATATCTATATCATAGGTATACATTCTAAATTTAATTTGAATTTATAATCAAGACTGCTAAATATTTACTCTTACAAACTTTGAAGAAAAGAAACTGAGTATTCGATTTGAAGAAAGGTGTTTTCTATAACTTATGCATTTGTCTCACCCAGAATACTTTTAATTTATCCACTTAAGTGGTTGCCATAAATTTAGAATATGTTATTTTGAAAAATACCTTCATCTTCAGACTGTATTGACTGGACCTTTACATCCACAAAAAGTTTATCTGTTTTCTTCTTGCCTTTGTGGACAATGAATGCCGTTTTTCCGATTCTCCAACATTTTGAATCCTCAACCTGAAAGTGATCATAGCAGCATTTCTTTATATTTAAGAAAGAACATACTTCAGACGGTAAACCATTCAAAGGCAGTAATATATCTTGCTCTTCCATACATATTGAACCAATAAACTTTTTAATATCAGTCAATGCTGAAGAGATGCCTGTTATTTCAAAGCCTTGTTCCTCTTCACATTTTAGTTCTACGTCATTATTCACTGCTTCGGTTTGTATATCTTCTAGGTAGTACTTCTGAAGCCATGTTAAATTTTTTGGATCCATAGGCACAGTGTCTTTTTGTGGAACTTGCTGTTCAATGTCATTAAGAAGCATCCGTAGTTTTTCGTCTTCTTGAAGATCAGAGGTAAAGACAAGTGTTGCAACATACTTGTCACAAGGTTTGTCAATTTGCATATGGATTTTGCCTTCAAATTTGTCTTCTAAGTTCCTCACACACTCTTGCCATTTCTCTGTGTTCTTCTTTACTCCCGCGGAATTCATATTTATACATTGTCTCTTCATAACAGAAGACTGCAAAATATGTTCAATTCTTTGCATATCAGATTTTGTCTTTCCATATATCATAACCATTTCAGTGTTATTTGAATCTGAATGTTCAACAACTGCCCAAGAACCTTTTATAGAGTTAATTTTACTGTCGATATATTTTTGCACGCCTTCTCTTTTTAAAAAGAAGTGAAACTCTTGCATTGCAGTGAACTCTTCATGCTCAATATCTGTCAACCACGCATTCGTTTTCATATAATCATTGGCAGCAGTGCACCCCTCGGTTTGTCCTATCATCATGACTTTTTCTCTTCTGATATAAATCTTCACATTTGGATGTTTTTCCTTTGCCCTCTTTATCCCATTTAACATACTTATCAGGCGCAATTGAAATGTATTCAAATGAAAAACATAATAAGAAATGTCTTCTCTACTATACGGATTCCAAACCTTGACATCTTTGGTGTGTATTTGTAGGTCTGATAACAAGTCTATAATATGTTCTCCTCTACCTAACAGGAACAGTCCACACACATCTTTCGATTCAGCTACTGACACGGAACCATCATTTACCTCAATTGATGCTTTAATCTTTTTTGAAAGGTGTTGCACTTCACCATATGATCCACTAATAAAAAGTAATTCTGTAGCATTAAAGGATTCAGTCATCAAATGCAAACAATTTTCTACCCATTGATTAAAATCATGTTCATGACTCTCTGAGCAAATATCAAAAGCAAAAGGAGCTTCCTTTCTTTTTGCAACATGTATTTCACTTTGCATTTCTTCTAACTGCTTTCCTAAAATGTTCTTAGATTCCTTCTGTGTCAGCAAAATATTCCATTTACTTAAATCGTGAATGTTGCTTAAATGTTTGTTGTAAGATTTTTCTTTTCCAGATCTAAACCGAAAGAAAATTTCTGAAAATCAGAAAATAAAAAAAATATTAACTATATTCACAACCAACAAATTAAACACAGGTGATTTCAATACTCTTACAATTCTGTCGTTTTGGTAGGGTTGATGGTAATTATTCAACTTATTTAACTTAATTTCATGTAATAAAAAACTGAAATAAAATTTCATAAAACTTGTTTCGTCCTTATGTTTCGAAAACCAGCGGTTGCTTTATAATAAATTCGTCAAAATATTAAATTACATGTACAACCACAAAGATATAAGCATTTTATCGCTAATAATCTTGAAAGTCCTTATTTGAATATGAAAGTTTACAAAGAAAATCAATCATGGGAATCATGTCTTAAGATATACACAGGAAAAGCGGTACATATGGTATGCAATTGATTTTCTTTTCATTAACGAATTGGGAAAAATTCATGTAAAATTATGTGTTTTCACGATTATTTTGCAAAAGGGCTCAAATGATATTTAGACGAAATTTGAAGAATTTTCGTTGAACAAATGTTTTCTATTCATATAAAAAGTAATCGATAACTAAAACAAATATCTTCAAGTTCTATCATAAACTCAATTTTATAAGAATTTTTCATGAAGTTTAATCTCTCAAGATCTTTGTTGTTCAATCGCAATAATATTCTACAAAAAAAAATTCCAGCATCACATTTGTAAAATCATACACAAAGTTAAAGTTTTGTTTATTATGTAAAATAAACCTTTTTTTCACATAAAGTGAATTTTTTGCTCAAGTTTTTTCATTATAGTTTACTTATACAAAAATATATTATATTTATTCATCGATTTATTAAGTGCAAAGGCAAAGCATATGAATATTGAACGTAGAATAAAAAACTCTATAAATTCTTTATACTTCAAAAATATTTCAAAATTTAGGGAAAAAATTGTATCATCTATACACCATATAAGTTTGAAAATTATTCAGATATATCTGCATCTATTTTTTAATTATCAGATTAGATCAAATCATTTTAAATGTATGCTACTGACTATAGATAACTAGTATCAAGCATAATAAGTGCTCTGTCACGTTGTCGTGGGTCTTCAAATTACTGAGCATTTAAAAATAAAGTAAAATTACTTGTGATTTCCGCGTCTTCCGTTTCATCCATTGGTTTCTTGTCCAAATTGTTGTTGAAGACAACGTTTGCAGTATATTTCTCTACAAAAATGTTATATTTTCATACTTGTTTAATTTCATAAATTTAGCAAAATGTTACAGAAACAATGATCATCATTGTTTATTCTTATATTCTTATATTTTCTACCCTTATAAAATATTTTTGCATCAAATGTTTAAAAAAAAGCTCGCTGATTTGCTAATTTAAGCTAAACAGAAAAAATGACCTAAAAAATTAACAATGTCATTAGAATTTGCAATATATCACCAGATTTTTTAAACAAGATTGTCAAAGAAGTTTTAATGCAACATTATTGTAAACACAATATAGTTTGCTGTGTTATATTTTTACTTTTTCCTTTGAATGAAAAAGAAAAAAAATAGTAAACTTTGATAGATTTTGTCAAATGGGTATCCATGGGTATCAACTGAGCTCCGTTATTAGTAGACCTATTTTAGTATTAATATGAAGCGGAACTTTTGCAAAATCTTTTGCGTGAAAAGAAGTATACACTTGCTGTGGTCTTCAACTCGACATTTGAAAATATATCGACGACGTAATGTCAATTAACAATGGTACATTCCTACGTCGATACGATATATCCTGCAGAGCTTGAGATAAAAGATACCACAGAGTCTGACACATCTGTTTCATACTTGGATATTTTACTTGAAAAAGACCTAAATGGTAATCTAACAACCAAGCTACTTGTAGTAGATGATAAACGTGATGACTAACTTTTCTATCGTCAACGTTCCTTACTTATGCATCAATTCACCTTCATCATCTGCATACGGAGTTTATATATCTCACTTGATTCGATACGCAAGAACATGCTCTACATGTGAACAATTTCTGAAATGAGTTATATTATTGTCAAGCAAGTTGATGAAACAAGAATTTCAGCAGTCTCGTTTAAAGACATCATTGTGAGTTCTATGGTCTATACAATGACCTTATTAGCAAATACAAATTATTATTAAGTCAAATGGTGACTGACATTTTTCATACTAATTGTTAGTCAATTATTTATACATTGGATTGACGACTTATTTTTCCGTTATTTCCCAATCATGACAAGGAGCACACGGCGGGTGCGACCGGTCAGCAGGGGATGCACACTCCTCCATGGAATCTGATCCCACCTCTGATGTTTCAGAGGTCCGTGTTTGCTCTGTCTTTATTATATATTGTTTTATGGACTTTAATATTGAATACTGTTCATTATCTCCATATCCTTCATAGATCTTTTAAACCATTGAAGTTATTAACAAAGAAAATATGAAGACACCTGGAAACTTCAGATAGGGAATAAATGCTTAAAATGAATTAGCATCCCGTTCGACTGATTACATGTACGAGGGTAGTCTTAAAAAGTCGTAGACAGGGAACATAGTTTATTTTCTCTTTGCTTAATCAAATTTCTTTTCTTGTCATATCAAAAAGTAACATTTTATGGTCATGCATTTCAAGTTTGATGACGATGCAACATTTAATAAGAAAGCTAAGAAAAAATAAAGAAACCATGTAAGTGTACATCGGTGCACGAAAGCAAATGTAATTTACGTCTCTCATGACGTCATGATCTCTTTTTCTGCTACACATGCGGAGATTAACATCCAAATGATTATTTTTTTTATAGTGAAAAACCACTCTAGACTAAGGGACTTACTTAATTTCACCACTGTCCGTTTTCTTAAGCAGATTCAAATTTTAGTCAAAATTTAGTTGAAAGATCACCTTACATTTTAGGCAGCAGAGAATACACCTTGTTTGACGACGTACATGGCCGAGAACGTTCACTAATGTCTGTGTTTAACAAACAGTTATAATAAATTCTACTTCTTACATGAAATAACTATTTTTTTTGATAGAGAGGAAAAACTATCTTTGAATCTCATGCTATTTAAAAACAACTTAAAATCTAGAGTGTTATGTTCTTTCTCTGATGAATATAAAACATACCAAAAACAATTTATTACATTTCCGTGCGCCGGGTTCGACGACGTCATTTTCATCAATCTCAATTCCAGCAAGACTGAAAATCATGCCATTAGTCATCTGTTTCTAATTCAATTTCTATGGAATTTGACATAATATTAAGATGTGATTCTAGTTTCAGTGATATAAATTTTAGTTCAATCTTTTACATAGTACCAAAAAAAAAAAAAGCAAATGTAATGTTATATGCGTATATTATTCAAAAATTTGGTCGTGCGCCGACAGACCATATCGGTCTTCTTATAAATCGTCCCAATATAATTAAATATGAAAGATATATATTTAAAAAATTCACAATTTTAAAGAACATTGTATGTATTATGCAAAATTTGGTTATTATTGGTTGCGTGTTAAAAAAAGTTATTAACATTTTCTACGAGTTTTTGGGACAACCCTCGTATATAGAAAAAAGTATTTTTTTAAAAAAATTATACTTTTGAATAATACATTCATTTTTGCATAAGCATAGTAATAATTTTACAACAAAACCCTAAATTTTATCACATTTATCGATCGAGAAACGGTAAAAGTCGGAGATGGTACTTCGAGAACTTTTTTCTCGCAATACAGTTTGCTTGCAAAAATATCATCAATAGTAACAAAATTCGTGAAAATTTTCTCTCTCTTATAAAAATTTTTAAATGTCTGCTTTGCAAAAATAAGGTGTCATGAATATTTAGTAATACACAATGTTAATAAGTAATTTCATAGAAAGAATAATTGTCAAAGAAATATACCCGATTTTGTTGAAATATGATGTCAGAATTGAATATGCACATACATGTAACAGACGCTTGGATCGTATCTTTTGATGCTGTTAGCAAATCTAAGACCTATATACATACCACGGTTTTTACAATTCCTACCTCCGTTTTCTTCATCTTCTTTTGTCATACTCCCTTGTGTTTTAAAGAAGCTTTTCTGAGATATATTTTCAAAAACTTCCTGATCCATGGGTAGAGATGTTGGATCCTTGTTTTGTTTGCCTCCAAGATCTTTTATGTAACAAGAAGAATTTTATAAAAGCAATTTCACAATTTCTAAAAAAAAAAATGCATATGATAGGGATGCTTAATAATATTATTTTATACATAATGGAAACAACGACTTTATGATGACAATTCTCGTTCGCATGGTGCAGTGGTTAGATCGTTGCTCTAGAGTCGTGAAGTAAGGAGTTGATTTTAATATTGCAGGTTTTAATCCCACTGTTGGTCAAGGAGAATGGTCCTTTGAATGAGACCGTATAAACCATAATCTGTGTCAAAGTAGGTGCTGACACGAAAAAGACCACTCGCTTGGCGTAATGAACGTAAGTACTGACTATAGGGATAAATTTGCAGCCCTCCACCTGCAGCTGGTGGTGGCGTCTAAGTAAGAGAATAATTCACGATTGGAAATCAAACATAAACAACTAAAACAAAAATATATCAAACGATAGGACATGATTTATGATATTGATATTGGTCTTGAATTCAGAGAGAAGGAGCCAAAAATAACCGAAAATGCTTAATGCTTGTTTCACAACATTTTAAGCCTGATCGTTGTTACCCTTTTTTTTTTATTAAATTACCCCTACTTACACAGCATCAAATCAAGCCTACAATGTGTCATTGATTTTTTCGTCATATGACGTCATTCATGTTACACTCCTTTTAACAGTCTTACAGACCAGCAGTCTTTGAAATAGTTAGAATGGTGGAATTTTTAAGGTAAATACAAACCGTTAAACAGGATTGAAACAAAATACAAATAAAATCCATAACAAATTAGATTAAACATGGGAATAAATAGAAATTCTAAATCAATCTGTAAACAAAATGAAATTAATAAATCAAAAATTAAAAATCATACTCTGACTTCTTTTTTACTATTCTCCCTTTTAAGAAATTATTGATAATTTTTAAAAGCAAGATACCTTTTTCAGCCGCAAGATCTTCATTTGTTTTCTGTAGCTTAACTTGTCCTTGATTCTCACATGCAAGATTCAATGTACCAGTAGAAATTTTATTCTGGTCATTATTTTCTTCCGATGACAATTCATTATCAGTGGCACCCTTTTCTTCGCCAACTGCTCCTTCCTGAACTACAATAAAAGCATCGTACTCATATAAGTGCAAATTGATAACAAATATGTCTTAAACAGTAATACATGTACAAGGAAAAAAGAAAAAAAAATATTATGAAAATATATAAAGACTTGTTCTCAATATAAGACAAATGAAATGTATACACTTCTAAATTTGTAAAACACAGACTTTTTTTCGAGATATTACCTAAAATGCATAACATTATTACAAAAAAGAATACAGAAGTAAAAAGGGATGGTACTTACTAAGTGCTACATTATAAATTTTATTACAAAATGAATATTCCGTTTTTAAGGTATAATTCAAGAAATTTGAATAAGCATTGATTTTGGTTGATTCTATATATTTTTTCTGGACGAAGGTCTCTATAAAATAAACTTTTTTTAGCATTTCTTTCTGTTTTTGCACTCGCTTCTATGTTAGAATAAGCACATACGGTATTATTTTTATTGGCTTAAATGTAAGGTAAATATGCAAGGACAGAAATAAGAAAGCTTCAAAAATTTCAAACAAAGATTGTTTGGATACAGTCCCTCTTTGATTATTTGAAATTTCACTTAGAAAAGTTAATACTGTAAAATCAGATACATGTATTTTCGTGGGGTCAATTTTTCGTGCTTTGAGGAAAATCTCTTGATTTGTGGGGATTTGATTTCGTTGATCAAGAATTAATGAGTACTTATGTATGTAACATATTACATTTCATGGTGGAAATGAATTCGTGGGTCTCCTCATACCTCGAAAACAACGAAAATTAAATCCCCACGAACATTTTGATTTCACAGTAATCATTATGTTTAAACCTACGGGTTTAAATTTATGCATTTAGTTATGCAATTTCTAATGAAACAACGTCTTATAAAAGAACATTCATTGAACAATAGGACGGAATTTAGTTTAATAATAAATATCTTTATGGGCCTTAATTAAAAAAAAAAGAGGAAAAAATTTAAAAGAAAATAAAGAAACACAAAAAGCTGAGAAATGTACAAAATTTCTTTTCGATGATGTTTTACTTATAGTGATTTAATTGTAAAATGAATTTTAAGAAAAGTAACTGGTCATGTATAACAACATTTTCAACCTTACATGTTGTAAATGTTTTTTTTTTTACAAAGCTATGAAGCTGAGAATTAAGGTACAAGTCAATGAGTTTTTGGACTTTTCCTCGTATCAAAATATTGGAAACTGCAAACATGATAAATAACTTCTGGTCGTTACACGGAATTATTTTAATGAATTGATTGATTGTATGTTGTTTAAGTCGCTCTTGAGAATTTTTCACTCGTATGGAGAAGCTACCACTTGCCGGTGGAGAGCTGCATAATTTGTCATCTACCCGGCCCTAAGAGAGTCATAGATCAGTAACGAATCTTTTTCGTGCCAGCACCTACTGCGACAAGGGGCCTCGGTTAATACGTTCTCATCCAAAGGACCGGTCCCACGTCCCACAGTGGGGTTCGAACCCGAGACGTAAGGATCAACACCTTACTTCGACACTCTTGGGATAAAAAATGTTAATAATGTGTAATGTCAATAACTTGTATCAAAAGGTCTTTAAAGATTAGAGGAATTTTAAGTTTTTCAACTTCGATCTGCCGCTACTTTGTATTGTGTCATCGATTTTTAAGCTTGAATACTCTTCGTTATCCTCATATGTTTCATTAAGGAGTGAGCATCCCCTGCTGAACGGTCACCATTGCCAGTTGTTCTCTGTCACAATATGGAAATACCGGGAAAATGTGTACACAATTCTATGAGAAAGTAATAAAATAGCCTAATTATTATCATGAAAAACGTCCATTAGAATATGGCTTAAATTAGATAGTTTGCATTTGCTTGCAAGGTCATTGTATTACCCAAAGAACTTCTGAAATGATGACTTTGAAAGAGACAATTGAATTTGCTTGTTCCTTCAACTTAGGCTCTCGCGTGTCGAATCTACTGCAAGAGAAATATTATCCCCATGTGCAGATAATTAGGGTACATATAAGTAAGGGAAGCTGATAGTATAACTTGTTAGCTATATCAAATAAATTCAATCCTGAAAAATCCTAAGACTGTTTGTAATATATCAAATTCAATTCATGTACATATTTAGAGCACAACATAATTAACTTGCTTTTCTTCGTAGTTGAGTCCTTTTCTGTAAATGAGTTTGAAACTGGCTGTGTGGCTATAACTCTATTGGCATTTCTACTGGACGCTATAAAATAAAATTATATGTATACAGTTTGGACAGATATGAGTAATTTACATCAAATTTATTTTTACATTATACACTGCTGTTAATGAATGAGCAATTTTTGTTATAGCTATGACATAATCACTGCTTGAAATATAAACTTAAAATTAGTAACGCCTCTGACTTGATGTTTCAAATTGCTTTAACAACTGTTTAATGTAACGAAGTAGTGTTTCTCCATGATTCTTTCATCCATTTACCCTACTTTTAATACCTTTCATCGTTTTACATAGAAAGTCGTAGTTTCTAAATTTCAAATAAAATGTTACTTTACAATGTATCTCCTTTCTTATTGAAAACATCTCCAACAACAAATCGTATATGCAAGTAAACATACATTCTTCCAAACGCAGTTGACTTTGCTTCAATTCTTTATTCGAAGTCGTGCCATCTGATAACATCGCTAGAAATAAAATAGACCAAAAAATGGACTACAGTGAACATCATAGTCCTTTCATTTTAAATTCATTGATTGTTCTTATACACAACTGAATACAATTTCTACATTGGAACTCTTGTTCTGGTGAATGTTTGTAAGTCTAAAAAATATAAATTTTGCTAATCTAACCTTTAAGAGCTTTTTATCTTTCTTTTCCCCAAAAAGAATTCTAGGTTTTATCAAAAATGATGGGACACTTATGTTGATTTGACATACTTCACATCAGCATTGAATTGTTTTTCAAATAAAAAGAGTGAAAGATTGACCAATCACAATTTACATCACCCATTGTATTGACCAGGAAGACGGAACACTATTTTTTCAAGTCCAATATTTCTTTATTAAATCTTACAGTCAGTATGAAACATCTCAGATAAAATACAACCGAGTGATAGGTTTTATTTCTTGAAAAATTTCTTAATAACGACCAGAATGTTAAAACACGCTTAATTAAATTCCCTGTAACATCAACTTTTTGTTAGAACCTGTTATAATCGTAGCCCGAGCATGCTCTTGAAAATCGAATGGGCTGGATCCTGACGATTCTCCTCATATTATAACATATGTATCAAAAATATTTTGAAAATATAAATACATTCTCACAAGACTCGTAAGTAAACTTTTGATTGTGGTTCTGTGTGTGTATAAACTCACCCACATTCCCTTTTGCTCGTCTATTTAGCATGAGTTGCCCTGAAATAAATTATTTTTTCTATTTTTAAGTCGGTGACGTCATATACAATTTTAAATTCGTTTCAGAAAATAACATGCAATTTTTTTTAAATAAATGTGTCCGTTAGACAAACATGCACAACAGAAAAATATTGAATTCGATCTTAAACGTAAAACCCTAAATTCTTCTAAGTCAGTCATGCAACTGATCGACAAATAAAACTTTCCTACAAAGCCTTCTTAATTTTTATCATACTTAATAATAATTTTATAAATAAAAAAATTTTCCATTTGAAACAGGAATTAAAGGTCCAGCTACAGAAAAAAAATTATTTAATCCGCGAATATGGGTTAGGTATTTATCTGCAACTGTTACGCGTACAACTCCAACATTAAATCCCTTTAAGTTATCCCTTTAAGTTATTCCTTTCCGTTAATAAAATAAAGTACCTGTATCACTGGCTCTAGACGAATCAGTAGTTGTAGATTTCCCATCATTTTTACTTTCCATGTCTGTCGTTCATGTAAGTTTTCCTGCGTTTAAACACACATTTAAGTAATGCTAAGATTAGCTTGTTACTTTAAAACACATTAAATATTATGTAAAGAATTTTAGAAAAAAAAATGTAACAATATATCGTTCAACTCTTCATTTAAAATAATTAGCAGTTTCAGGATGCTCCAATTAACAAAAACAAGTTATGTAAATAATGGATTTATCTTCAAATTTTATAGTCTAGTAAATATGTTAAGCAAAAGCTTGAATATGATTTTTTTTTTTTTGGCTTGTACATTTTTGGGAGGGTTGACAATTTTCGCTAGCAATCAGCCCTTTTTGTATAGCTAATTTTACAGTAAGTTTCAGATATTTCATTTTGTACAGGTGTATGTGTATCAAAATGAGACAGTCTTCTTGGGAAAGTTTCATGAACCACTTTGACAGCAATCAGAATTTCAAAACATTGATTACGAAATACTTTCATGAATCTTATTAATTGAGGGATTTAATTATTGTATTGATTTGGGGAATAACTTAATCATGGTTTTTCGACTCAAACTACAATTTTTAAGTAAACTGAAGATTAGGTGCTTGAAGAATCTAAATGCTTTAATTTCATTTTCTTTTCATCTTGCTTGTCTGAATAATCCTACATATCATTACGTTAGCACATGTATCTCTAATTCTATACGTTTAGGTTTTCTTTGTTACATTGTCCACACACAAAGGATTCTATAAATTTGTAAGAGCTCAGTTTAATATTTTGTACTTAATATTTTGAACTATCTACTATGTTATTTTTTAATGTCATTAAAGAGCAAAGTCAAGTGCAAGCTACTAGGCCTACCTACTATGTATGTTTGATCTGTAAACTTATGCTTTTTAAAATGTTTGTTTCATATATAGGTCTAGTGTGACGTGTATCTACAGGAGCCTGACGCCAGTTTAATACGTTGATTTATTGGTGACCCTGCATGGCCTGCAAAATCGGGATGACTTGAGTTTAACAAGAGAGATAACTTTTACTACTGAATTTTTAGCTTGAATAATATTGTTCTTTATCTCCATTTATTTCTTATAAAAAATGTAAATGATTTTTTTACTGTAAAATTTGATTTTGCAATTGTCATGGTTATAAACTGTATGTACATATGCATTTTGTATGTCAAAATTCAATACCTAACATGACTATCAAGTTGTACAAATTTTGCACTCTATGTACAATATATGCCGTTCAAATCGAAAGTAAAAGGTAATTTTTTGTGCCATTATTGTTGTTATACACCAAAACTTTGATAAACATTTTGTTGTTGATGTACATAATTTTATATGAAATTTTAATTTTAAGCTGCTTTGTAATATATAAATAACAAACTTTATGGACTGGTAAACGGATTATCCAATCGAAAGAGAAAGTAGACTTAATTGATGAGTGAATTATATCAAATAATAAAAACATATAAACAGTTAAATATTAAATTCATATTTATTTCAACGCTACCTTATTCATAAATGCAATTAAACTACTTACCTGTGCGTTTAACTTGTCATGGGCCCGATTCTCTAAATTCCATCTTGTTTTCTAATACTTACGCACATGGATTATAGACCAATAAAATTTAACGCTAAAAATATACATGTATGTACACAAAAGAAACACAACTTATTTCCGGAATTAATCTATAGGCCTATTCATTGTCTGTCTCACAGTTAATCTATTTTTGTTTTTAAAAAAATTCATCAGATTGCAATCAGATTAGATATATTATAACGGTATACAATTGATATATATTTTTTTTTAAATATATAAATATTACATCTAAATTCGCATTAGAAATGTCATTAAAGGTTAAATTTACTAACAATTTTTTGTACATTTAACCAATGTTTACATCTAGATTATCAATTCCAATGCCCTTAACATACGAGGGCTGTTCAAAAAATAATGTCCTGATCTATATGACATACATTACAGATATCGTATGACATTAAACTTGACTTTCTCTCATTATTTAATCTTTCGTGAATTTATAAAAGTTTATGTGACCATTTTTAATCACATAGTTTCATCATGAGAAGTTGGGAAACAAGGGCTTTTCGAGGAACTGCAATATAACTGAATGGTAAAGAATCAGTAAACTAGAGTGAAAATAAAAGCTTCATCAAAGCTGCCGTAAAACTTGTTAAACATCCCAAAGACTTATTAACTGAAATATGTGACATTTACAGCAACCAATGCCTGTTTTATAGGCAAAAAAGCAAGTGAATTTCAATGATAAAAAATTATATAATGGGCATCAAAAATGGGTACCCTCCTTGCCAACAAAAATTATAACAACTTATGTACTGTTCGCCAAATTTCAACAAATATTTGCTGATGTATGATCGACTTTAAGACACACAACAAATTTGATAGACATCACATCGAGGGTAATTTACACTGTATTTAAGAAACATTTGGCGATGAAAAAGCTTGATACTCAAAGGTCACCCTTAATTTTGAAAAATGAATGGAAATGACAGTGTGTACTGAATTCTTAACAATTATTTTAAAATATCAGTAATTGTAGTTATCCACGTTTGTTTTATTTTCAAACAGATATTGGAACATGAATCTATTGATTTAAACCCTAAAAACAAAATTTACCATAAAATGTACTTGATAAAAACGGCGAATGTCTGAAACGTGCACAGGTATGCAAGAGCACAAAGTCAGGTTTTTATGTAATTATCTTAACAATTAGTGGTAATGTTGTTCAAAATCGTATTCGGGGAGACAGTTTAATTTCTGTAGGAGTCTAGAAAGCACTTTTTGGCCAAAAAATCAAAAGGTTTAATAGACGAAGGACCCAGAATCAGGAATCCACTACATTGAATTTCTTCAAGACAGCGTCCAAACCTGCATGCCCTGAAGAATTAAGGGGTTTTCGGAATAAACAGAAAGTTAAAGTTTTTTCACATTAACAATATTTGCAAGAACTTTGACCCTTTGACTTGTTTTTATTTACAAACTTGAAAAAATACCTTTCAGAAGGAAGAAACAAGTTCGGGAAATGATTGGATCTGCCATTTTCCAGTATACTGAGGGTCATACCCAAAAATGAGTTCTACAAACGATCAGAAATTGGATAAAAAATGTTATGGACATGTATTTTACTTAAAAGAGATTAATTAGTAAAATCATGATGAATAAATCCTTGAAAAGTGTCTTTTGCTTCTTTCTGAGCACCGAGGACAGCATTTATTGAACAGCCCTCGTATATTTTATTTCATAACAAAGAAACATTTACTTTTGCAATTAACAATTAAGTGCATGGACTATATGTAGTTTAATGGATAACATTAGAGAAATTGTTTCCGGTTTGTATGGCGGTCATTTAAGAAATATGCGATTCTGCCAATTTTTTCGGCAAATACTTAGAATCTGCAAAGAATACATGTATTGCAATAAATTGTTTGCCTGTCTTCTGTCCGATTCCAGGAGGAGTGAGCATCCCCTACCAAACAACCATACCCGCTGTGTACTCCTTGTCATGATCGCTAAACTAGGTATTAAACGGGAAAATCCGCCAACAATCCAACCATAGAACTTAAGAAATTATGACTGTAAACGAGTCTGCTCACATTCTTGGTTCATCAACTTGTTTGTGAATAGCTTTCTTCGTTTTAGAAGGTGTAAATACGCTCTTGCGCGTATCGTATCAGCTGAGATATATCACTCCGTATGCAGTTGATGAAGGTATTCTTGACCCTGTGTCCCTTATAATCTCAAAAGAGTAGGGCTGGGACAATACAACTTTTTCTATATCGATACATATCACGATATTTGAGCCACGATACGATATGTATCACGATATGTTTGATTGCTGATAAATTCTATTTTTGCATTGAAATAAACAAATTATTTCTTTGCAAATAAGAATAATTTATTCAAAATAATTGTTTATATATTGTAAAACAAAAATATTTTACTCAAGTGGTGTTAATTATTATTTATTTCATATCTATATTTATATTTAGCTTATTTATTTTATATATTAAACCCCAATTGTTAAATAAACAAAGAAAAACAGAAGTAAGATTTTTTGGGGCGATATTCCGATATTTCTTCATATGTATCGATATGCGTATCGTCCTAACATGTATCACGATATATCGATATCTCGATATATCGTCCCAGCCCTACAAAAGAGTGACGCCTTTTTAGCTCAAATGAGCCGAAGGCTCAAGCGAGCTTTTCTGATTAAAATTTGTCCGTTGTCTGTCGTTGTCGTAAATGTTTCATATTATCATCTTCTTCTCAAGAACCACTGGACCAATTTCAACCAAACTTGCTACAAAGTATCCTTGAGTAAAGGGAATTCATGTTTGTTTACATAAAGGGCCATGCCCTCTTCCAAGGGGAAATAATTATGAATTAATAAAAAATTAATGGCATTCTTAAAAAATCATCTTCTCCATAACTATTTGTAGGGAAAGATAAAGTTCATGTTAAATCATCCTCAGGTAGTGTACATTCAAGTTTGATCAAATTATGACCGCCGTGGGTAGGGTGGTACCACAATAGCCGATCAAAGTTTTACATAAGAATACATAGGAAAAATCTATAAAAATCTTCTTCTCAAGATTCATAGGGATAGGAAAGATGATACTAATGTTAAATCAGCCCCAGGTAGCGTGCATTCAAGTTTGTTCAAATCATGACCTCCGGGAGTATGGTGGGGCCACAATGCCGATCAAATTTTAACATAGGAATATATAGGGAAAAACTTAAAAATCTTCTTTTCATTAACCCATTAGGACAGGAAAGATGAAACTCGTGTTGAATTATCCTCAGGTAGTGTACATTCAAGTATGTTCAAATTATGACCGCCGAGGACAGTGTGGGGCCACAATGGTCGATCAAAGTTTTACATAGGAAAATATATAGGAAATTTTTTTTAAAATCTTCTTCTCAAGATCAAGAAAGGAAAGCTGATACTTATGTTTATCATCCTCAGATAGCTTACATTCAAGTTTCTTCAAATCATGACCCCTTGGGGTAGGGTGGGGCCACAATGGCCGATTAAAGTTTTACATAGGAATACAATGTATATAGGAAAAAATCCTTAAAAATCTTCTTTTCATGAACCATTAGGACAGATAAGATGAAACTCATGTTGAATCATCCTCAGGTACATGTAGTGTACATTCAAGTTTGTTCAAATCATAACCCCCGGGGTAGGGTGGGCCACAATGGCAGATCAAAGTTTTACATATTAGGAATATAGGAAAAATCTTCTCAAGATTCATAGGGATAGGTAAGAAGATACTAATGTTAAATTATCCTCAGGTAGGGTACACTCAAGTTTGTTTAAATCATGGCCCCCGAGGGTAGAGTGGGACCACAATGGCTGATCAAAGTTTCACATAGGAATATATAGGGAAATTTAAAAAAAAAATCTTCTCAAGTACCGCTAAGCCATGATTAGTGATATTCATATGGCAGAATCCTCAGGTAATGTAGATACTAGTTTGTTCAAATAATGATCTCCAGGGATAGGATGGGGCCACAAAGGGGGTAGGGAGGGAAACAATCGGGAGTCAAATTCAAATTATGAAAAAGTAATACACACAAAAAAGTTTTTTAAAAAAATCTTTTTCTCAAGACCTTTCTTAAGAAGTATAATATGTAGTTTTGATTTGGAGGCATTCTCCTTAGAATTCAAGCCGATCCCCCACCCAATCGGTAATCTTTTCAATTCGGATCTGATTTGTGCTTTTTCCTAGCTCAGGTGAGCAATGTGGCCCCTGGACCTCTTGTTAAACATGTACTTGGCGGTGCGTCTCCCAGTATTAGTTTGTTATTCTGAATACTCATGAATGAGTAGGTACCGAGAGACAAGTATCGACTTGGACAGACTGTCCTCCAACAAAAATACATGTTCGATGGTTTAAATTAAATGAATGAAGAAAAAGAATATCATTCAAGCTTAAAAGAATATCATAAAAAATACAAATGGGGCAGAGCAATCAATGACATTTAATGTCGAAAAGTTTTCGGACAGTCAACAGATGATGAGAAAACTAACTTAAGGACAAGTTTACAAACAAAAAATGGATGCCTGGATTGGTATATATTTTTGGCCTAATTTTATTCAAAAAGACGCAAATAAAAAAAATCTTGAATATAAAGAATTTGTAATATGTAATTTATTTATTGCTCAGGATAAACATCCTAAGGCATATAACAAAACGTACAATAATATTTACATAGGAAATGAACGATTGTACATATGATGGAGAAAAGTCACAATGATATTGTATGACAGGGATCATACAACTGTCCTTTACAGATTTACAAATGCAACCAATATAATACGCATGTAAAGCTTACATATAACATACAGATAAATTATTGGCAGTTCCTTACTTCAAAAGCGTTTAAAATATATTTTCCAAGATTACAGAGTTCTTTGACATTATTAACACTAATGAGCTGTATAAATTTAAACACAGAGGGTTAACTCCAATGATATTTTTTAATGAATTTTTTGCCCAGTCTACGTATTTAGGACATATGAGTATAAAATGATATTCATCCTCTATATCT